CAGATGGTTAAGGCCATCTGAGTAAGGAACCAGGGATGGAGGATCTTTTCATCTTTGTTGTAAACTGCCTTTCAAATAAAAGTAAATAAAACTTTTTTTAAAAAATTACACATCTATTGATTTGTCACAAAGCACCATGCATCCTGAAAACAAAGAGAAGGGAAGTAGTACTTACTGTCTACCATGCGGCACACATTCTGCTAGGGGTTTTCCATCACATCATCATCATCATGATTATTATCTTTGCCTTAAAGCAGAGGCAAAACTAAGCCAAAAGGGCAAATCAAGGCTGCCCTGTTCTTGTAGTCTTACACCACATCAACAGTATTCCCATAAGATTATATTGGAACTGAAAAATCCCTATCACCTAGTTTGTAATAGCATACCAGTCACATGTGAGTGGGGATGCTGGTACCAACAAATCTACAGGGTATAAACACCCAGAAATGTACAATTATCTACAGTACTTAATAGTTGATAATAAAGAGCCATGCTACTGGTTTATGCATTTACTATTCTATATTACACACTTTCTTATTTTAGAAGGTACTCCTGCTTAAAAAAAGTTACTGTAAAACAATACTGCATGTTACCCTGGCAGCAGTCTCATGCATCTCCTATTTACAAGAACCTCTTAGAGTAGCTGACCTACATTACCTGGGTTTGTGTTAGGTAGACTCCATGTTACAGTAGCACATCAATGAAGTCACCTGGTGACTTTCTATCTTATCCATCATTAAACCACACATGACTGTGAAGTTTTACTAGTTTGGCTACCTTTGCCCATCTTCTGTTGTTGTTGTTTATTTTATTTATTTAAAAAGCAGAGTGACAGAGAGGGAGACACGGAAATGCCATCTGATTTACTCTCCAAATGCCCATACTGGTCCACTTTGAGAAGACTGAAACCAGCAGCCAGGAGCTTCATTCACAGCTTCTGCTTCCTTCCAGGCCCTATCACAGGTGCAGGCTGCTTAATGCACTTTGCCATAATGTTGGGCACAGAGCTAATAATATATTTACTTATTTTTACTTGAAAGGCAGAATTACAGTGAGAGAAGGAGAGACAGAGATCTTCCATCCACTCCCCAAATGGCTTTAATGGCCAGAACTGGGCCCATCCAAAGCCAGGAGCCAGGAGCTTTTTCTGGATCTCCTACAGGAGTGCAGGGACCCAAGGACACAGGCCATCCTTTGCTGCTTTCCCAGGCTGCAAGCTGGGAGCTGGATCAGAAGTGGAGCAGCTGGGACATAAACCACTGCCCACAAGGGATGTTGACACTGCAGCTGGCAGTACTACAATATATCACCTACCCTGAAGTTCATCTATTTTCAAGGTAAAAGACTAAATATTCCCTTTTCACTGCCCCTATTCAACTTCTCACCAGAGTCCTAGCCAGTCAAGAAAAATAAGAGGTATAGAAACTAGAATGAAGGCTCCCTAATCACAGATTATTTTATTATTTAGAATATTCCGTGCTCAGCGTGGTAGGCTAGTGGCTAAAGTCCTCGCCTTGCCTCTGCAGGGATTCTATGTGGGTGCCAGTTCCGTATCCCAGTGGCCCTACTTCCCACCCAGCTCCCTGCTTGTGGCCTGGGAAAGCAGTTGAGGATGGCCCAATGCTTTGGGATCCTGCATCCACTTAGGAGACCTGGAGGAGGTTCCTGGCTCCTGGCTCTAGATCGGCACAGCACCGGCCGTTGTGGTCACTTGGGGAATAAGTCATCCCCAAGTGAGCGCAACGGCCGGTGCTGTGCCGATCCGAAGCCAGGTCTCCCACATGGGAGCAGGGTCCCAAAGCTTTGGGCCGTCCTCGACTGCTTTCCCAGGCCACAAGCAGGAAGCCGGATAGGAAGTAGAGCTGCCGGGATTAGAACCAGCGTCCATATGGGATCCCGGCGCGTTCAAGGCGAGGACTTTAGCTGCTAGGCCACGCTACCAGGCCCAAAAACAAATAAATCTTAAAAAAAAAATAACAAAAATAAAACAGCTGGCCTCTGCTCTATAACCAAACATTCACAGGTTCCAGGCATTAGAACATCATCAAGGATCACTGTTTTGCCCATCACAGACGGGTTATTCTTCTCTTGATTAAGCATATACTTTTATCCATATGATTTAATAATCTTGCTTTCAGATAACTTACCAAAAAGAAATGAAGGGATAGTCACACAAAAACCTATTTGGGAAAATTTGTAACAGCTTTACTCAGTCAGAACAATAAAATCTGTGAACACAAATGTCCTTTTAACTGAGGAAACCCCCATAGAAGAGAATACTACGTTTACAAAACAAAAAGTTAAAAAAAATAAAGGCAGTACTGATATGTTCAGCATGGGTGCATTTCAAATAAATTGTGCTAAAAGAAAGCAACCAGATACAAAAGCCTAAATACTGCATGATTCCATCCCATCGATATTCAAGAAAAGGCAAAAGACAACAGATTATTGGCTGCTGGAGTTAAGGGTGAGGGAAGTCTACAAATCAACAGCACAAAGAATTTTCACAAGATAAAACTTCTGTATCTTGATTACGGTATCTGCACAGCCTACAAATTATTTGTTACAGCAGCTCTGCGATGAAGAGTTTCATTTCAAATAAATTAAAATGAAGATAAAATCACTTTTAAAGATTAACTCTTAAACTGGCACACACACAGAAGTGATTTATTTGAAAGACAGAGGGACCCACCGAGACAGAGAGCAGACACTCAGCTAGCTACCACCCATGGTTCACTCCCCCAAAGCCCCCCAGCAAGCCCAGGGGGACCAGCAGAAGCTGGGACCTGGGAGTCCAATGCACATCTCTCTCAGCGTGGCACCAAACCAGTCACCTGAGCCATCCCCGACGGGTTCTCAGTGTCTACACTGACAGGATGCTGGGATCAGAAGCAGAGCAGCCACTGAGCAACACGGATGTCATCGCCCCAAGAGGTGTGCTAACCACCACACCAAATGCTCACGCAGGCGTAAACCTTACAAATCTAACAAAGCCAATTTTGAACAAGGATAAGAAATCAATCCTATTCACAAACTGCTGTCAAGAATGTAAAGTATTACAACTTCAAAAGACAGTTCAGCCATGGCTAGTAAAGCTTCTAAAAATGCCTATCAACGTATTACCAGCAGTTCTAACAGGCATACAACCTGGGGAAATCACACATGTTCAAGGAGACAAGCACGAGGATATGAATATTCACAAGGCTATTCATTCATTACTCAGAGTCATTCCTTCAGCAGGAATCGGGATTAATACTTATTTTAAAAGAGAAAAGAACATATTTCAGGGAAAGAAACCTGCCAGTTATTTAATCATTGGAAGAAAGTAGCCTAACCGTTTATTTCTCAAGGGTTAGGGAGGGCACTGAACCTCTACTGTGCACATGGGCATCTAAGCACTCGTTCCAACTCTGCCACCAACTGGCAATCAGACAAGGAGCTACAGACTTGGCGTCCTCACATGCTTTTTCCTTGAAAATGGCTGGACTATATAACCTGTACGACTACTTCCAATCCAATCAGTCGGTGAATACATCAGTATTTAACAAAAACTCAGATTTTAATGTGCATGTCAAGAGACTACCACGACACCCTGAAATAAGGAAATAGCAGAGAAATTGGACATCTTAACATTCTGATACATCAAATAGAGTATGTTGTGTGTCTGTGGCAAGATTTTTTTTTAATCAGATCATAATTCACGATTTAGGATCATAAATATCTAAACCCGCTGTACTCACCTGGGTCACCCTCAGGTTCTGAGACCAGTTAGCACCACTGAGTCCTCCACTTCTTGTCAAGTTCAAATCTGTCTAGTCGAAGTTACTCAACTAACGCTAAGATTCACTCACATTTTTTCAACAAAGTTTTCATTTAGAAAGCACTTAGATTTTAACAACTTCAGCTGACTACAATGGTTTACTTGGCTTTTTGAAACTTGTAATATGTTATGCCCAGACAGAGTGCCCGTAAAGGCTCAGTGGCTAATAATTCAGTGAAGTTTATTTAATAGCTTTCATGGCTACCAATACTTCCACTTAAAAGACACCAATAATCAACCTGCCATTTATGTCTTTTGCAAAACTAAATAGGTTATTAGCTTCTAGTATAATTTAAAAGCATAATTTGGATATCATCATTGAAACGCAATAATTGCTTTAAAAAACAGAAATTTTGACCTTTCATCTTAACAATCAAAACTTCAAAATTCTTGTTAAGAGCTTTCTAAAGCTGAATTCGGAAGCTCCTACTCAACTAGGGAGACAAAACACTACACACTATACCTCCGAGCCCTCGGATTTTAATTTCAGCGTAAACTGCCAAGAAAAATCTTTGGACCGAAACCTAAATTCCGCACAAGTATAGGTCAATCAACTGAACAACAGGTGAGTTACTATCATTAAGGCAGTTACATAATTTGCTACAAAGATCGTTTAAAGAGCCTTTCATTGAAAGCAGCTTACATTTTACAGGCTTCAAAGTTCAACTTGCAATTAGAGAGTAAATCGAGAGAAAGCGGTAACGAAACGCTGCTTTTCTTTAAAAGTGGTCACAAGGAAGCAGGAACTGTTGGCTGCTGAAAGGAGCAACAGGGAATCCAAGCAGCTGAGTCAGACGGAGGAACTCCAATCGGCATTCCGCCTCCCTTAGGAAAGGATTCCCCCTCACTGATTGCCCTGCCTCGGCCAGAAGGGGAGTCCCCGGATTCCAGAAGCCCGGGAGGAGGAGGACACCGACTCCCCTCGCCGCGCCCCCCCAGCAACTCGGAGCCTGCGCCAAGGCGGGTCTCCCGGCCGCCGCGCACACAAGCAAGCTCCTCCGAGGGACAAAGGTTGCGCTCCGAGCCGCCGCCACACCGCGGCTCGGCGGCCGCCGGGGTCCCGCCCGGGGCCTGGGCGCCCCGCGTGGGGGAGGGGCGACGCTGTGTTGTTGGGGAGCGGGGGGGCAAACCTGTTGATTAAGATCTCCACAAACCCAGCCGCCGCAGCTCCGCTGCTTACCTCCGCAACGCACACGGCCGCTCCGCGGGCGCGACAGCAACCACAGCCTTCCCGGAGCCCGTAGAACGTCGGAGAAAGAATCCAGAAACTCCCGGGTCCCCACCTCAGAACCCGGAGGCCCCGCCCCCTGCCCACCGCCAGCCTCCTCCGTCGCCGCCGTCGCCGCCCGCGACTCCTCCTCGAGACCGCGCGAGACCGGCCCCCGCGGCGGCCGCGAGACCGCGCACGCGCCCCCGGCGCTCTCTCCGCGCAGCGGGCGCGCCTGTCCCAGGCCCGCCCACGACGCGCTTCGCCCAATGCCGAGCCAGCGCGCAGGGCACGGCCCGCTCATTGGTCCGCCGTGCTGCCCTCTGCCCCGCCCCGCGCCCCGGGCCTCCGGTCGCGCGCTCCAGCCAGCCTCCCCGCAGGAAAGGTGAGCCGCGGCGCTCGCGGCCGCTGAGGAACCGCTTCAGGGGTTCTTCCCGTGACTTACTTAGGTCGTCTGGGGTCTCGAATTCTCCCTGAGACGGAGTTGAAAACGGGCTAAAGCAATGCAGTATTTTTTTTTTTTTTTTACTTCAAACTCACAGCTTCTGAGGAGAACGTATCCCATTCCCCTTGAGGCAATTCCTCATTCCCTGTTTAGGCTGCTCACAGAGTCTGTTTGGGAAATAACCGGAACACGAACACACCTGGATGTATAGAGTGTCCCACAGAAGTGTCCCCTTGTAGGGCGCAAGACTAAAAAGCTGACAGCTGGCACCGAACTCTGAAAGTGAGACACGAAGGATGCCGAGGGACCACAGCCGTGTGGTCAGAGGCTGGCTCGGGTGGATTTCGTGCTTCCTAGGCCTGGGGAGGGCAAGGCTGGCGCTCTGCACACGTGTCTACGCTTCCCTCTGAATGGAACAGGCTTCGGAAGGAGCTGTAGGATCCGTGACGGAACGCAAAGCAAGATTGACGTGCACTGGGCACTAATAACCTCACCGACGAGTTTGCGTCAGACTTCTAACACAAGGCGCCATAAAGCTGTTTTGACAGTGGGGACCTTTGTCCTCCCAGGCATCCTATCCCGTCTTCGGGCAGTTCTAATGTTTGTTAATGTTTTCAGAATTTGCCTGATGAGTTCAGCCTAGGGTTGTTAGTGTTTCTAGTAAACCAAGTGGCCGAACTAAACAATACGGTTCTTGGTGTTTCTAGCCCGGAATAAGCAAGCCCTGTAGGGAAGATCTTTTTGGATCTCCACATTCTGCAGATTTTTAAAATCTCAACTTCAAATCCGATAAACATCCTAGCCAAATCTTTATGAAAGTTGTTTTGAAGTGTTCAATCATACATGCAAAGACAGAACTGCATGTCACTGCAAGAGACCCTAATCTTGCCATCAAATATTTCTCAGCAGACTTTGAATACAGTTTCAGATCTACAGAACGGAACTGCCTTCTTGTCCTATATTCCTCCTCGAAGATGCCATGAGAATGCACGAGACACCCAACGAAAATGCAGGAAAAGAGACTCTGGGATTCCAAGAAACGCTTAGCCATACCCCCAGACGAGAAAAGGTTAGTGTGTGTAGCTTGTTTGCTTTCCAGACACCCGCTCCAGTTCCTCGAGGAAATTTTTCTCCCTCTAGTTCAACCTTGGCGCTATGGGCACTGAGCTGGATAATTCTGATGTGTTAGGTTTGGGGTTGGTGGTGGGCAGCTGTCTTGTCCCGTGGAATGTTCTGTAGCATCCTCAGCTTCTCCCGAAGGTAACAGCACTCCCCCACCCCACCCCAGTGGTAACAATTAAAAGTATCTCTAGGCATTGCCAAAGTCCCCTGGGGAGCAAAATCACCTTCTTTAAAAACCATGATCTGGCTGTTTAAACAAATGGGCTCTTTAGAAAGATGCTATCTCTTTATACATACCTTGTAAAAGCTTGGAACCAGGCAGTTTTCCAGAACACTCCCACCACTAGGAACCCTTTAGTTTCCTAGCCTTGCTTTTTCAGCTGCTTAGATTCATGTTACAAGACCCTCCATCCCAGCAAAAGACTCCTCACCAGCAACTACTGATCTCAAACTATGTGGCCATTTATTAGTCAAGTGCTACATGAATGTAAAGGTTTTTGTAATTATTATTTTTTTATCACTATTTTACCAAATAAGAAATTGTTGTCTACTGATTGGAACCATTCCCACAATATCCAAATTACGAATTACTGGCCTCAGATGCAAAAAGGAAAGGGAAAGTGGAAGAGTAGAAATTGTGAGTGAAATTGTAGGCAAGGTGGTTAGATTTGAGTCAGCTCAGCTTTGCTACTAGCTAGTTCTGGGATGTCGGCGCATGACAGGCTTCCTAGGGTTAAAACATTTTTTTCAATTGTTATTATATACAAAGACTTAATTGTTATTTTTATTTTTCTGGTTCTGAGATTCTGATAATCTCTGCATAGGGATTCTGACATGGATATCAAAAAGGGCTTCAGTAATGTAATAGTCATCTCAAAAATCAAATTAAGCAGGTAATGCTGTGGTTAAAATGCCCTGTCAGAAGGCTTGTTCATCCTTGTCACAATGTGCCTCTGCTGAGTTCCCCCGGCAAATTGGTAACTAAGTACTCTGGGTGAGTGGTGAAAGCCAAATCAAGTTATAGTTGAGACGACCGTAGTAAATACCTTCCCTCCTTCTTCATCTTGACATCTTAACTCATCCTCTGTCAGTATTCCTTACTATGTGTCATCTAATAAAATGCCATGCTGTGTTATTTCACTGAAACTTTTGGGGAAACATGTTAACACCTAGACTCAGCCAAGATTCTGTCATTATATATGTAAAATCCTTGACTTAGACTTCTATAATTCCTCTTTGCACAAGAAAAAGTTGGTTTTCGTAACTGGATTCTGCTTAATCACTTTGTGCTTGTATGAAGTAGATGATTAGAGATAATATAAATTAAAAGCATGATACTCAGTGATTCACATAAAAGAGGCTGATGTTGTGGGTGGTAAAAGAATGTGCTGGAGCAGAGTACAGCCAGATTTATTGACACATGGCAAGGAAGTAGTGGACAGACAGGATGGGACAGAGCTGACTGCTGATACTAAGTGAACTGAGGGGTCTGCCTGAAGCCACAGATCCTTCTTAGGGTGACTGTCGTCTCATGCTTGCATGAGAGAAGTGGTTGTAATATGGGCTATCACCCAAGAAGCCTACTTGTAACTGCAGTATTCCCTCAGTTAGGGTGAGTTCCCTATGGTCCGACAGGCTTTCCCAGGTAAAGTGATTTGCATCTCTGGCTGGTGCTGGGGTGCCTGTATGGTCTTTAGCTTAGAGATGTCACTAAATGCCCTAGGGCCATCCTCCCAAAAAGAGAAGTTATAAAAACAACAAATTAATAGGTATAATAGGTATACTAATTAGTAAACATATATCTAAAATTAAAAAAATTAAAAAAGAACAGAAAACAATTTGACAAACCATGAGCCTTTCTTATTTAATTGGGCTTTATTATTATTTTGTTTTGTTATTATTTTGATGTTTTATAGTAGTATTTTACTTTTAACAAATCTGAAATATTATGTCTCTAAGCTAAGATTTCTGTGCTCATTAATTGTCTGGTAGAGGGTTTCACTGTCTTCATTTGGCATCAGTATCATTCAGTACAGATTAGTATTATTTTTAAAATGAATGGTTACTTGTTAGTAAAAATGCCCGAAGGGGCCAACATTATTACATAGTCGATTAAGTCTCTCCCTGCAGTGCTGACATTCCATACAGGTACCTGTTCAAGTTCTGGATGTTTCACTTTTTTTTCCAGCTTCATGCCAACGTGCCTGGGAAAGTAGTGAAAGATGATCCAAGTTCTTAGGCCCTGTACCCATGTGGGAGACCTGAAAGAAGCTCCACACTCCTGGCTTCAGATTGGCCCAGTTCAGGGAGTGAATCAGCAGATGGAAGATCTCTCCTTCTGTCTGCCCTTCTCTCTCTGTAAGTCTGCCTTTCAAATAAAAATAAATGCATCTGTAATCAGAAATAGTTAAGTATAGAAATATCTTTACATATGTATATATTATATATATATATTTATATATATAACATACTGACTGAGCATATCCTTCCTATATGCTGAACTTTGTGTTATGGGCATTGAAATGAGTAACAGTTTCCATCTTAGAGGTGTTTGCAGTAAGGTAGGGAAAGGTGCAAGATAAGAAAAGTAAGATAAACATAAGTAAATGAAAATAAGACGCCCTCTGTGGACCAAAGCAAGCCATGGTCTTACACCCAGAAGAATTTTCTATCCAATTGGGGATGAGAGTTGGTTCAGAGAATAAACTGCTTTTAAAGTGTTACAACTGGGAAAAACTAAGATCTTACAATGTTTTTTTAAAAACATGGACCTGAGAGGTGAGTAGTATTGAGGAGTTGTTGGTCAAAGTATACATTTTAGTCAGGAGGAAGGAGTTCAAGATCTATTGTATAACATGTTGACCATAGTTAATGCATGATATGGTTGAAAATCACTGGGTGATTATTTTAAGTACTCTCACCACAAAAGCATTTTAAGTATATGAGATAATGGTAAGGAGCTCTGTTTAGCCATTCCATGAGGAATATTTCAAAATGTCAAATTGTACACCATAGATAAATACAGCTTTTGTCAATATAAACCTCATTTTCAAAATTTAAAAGAGACATACACCTTTTTTCAAACTAAATGACTCAGTGAGGTGCACAAAGAAGCGTGGGCTTGCTGTGGGAATGATAGTGTCAACAATAACCCCAGGGAAGGATATACAGTATTTCAGGTGTCAGCCGCCTATCACACTTTTATTAGCACCCTTCTGTGTGGTACTGTGCCAGGCTGTGATGTTTAGACAAATGAAACATTGCCCATGAGAGATTTTATGTTTGAGAGAAAAGGTAGGTTAAATAAGGAATTTAAAATTTTTCTTTTTTTAAAATATTTTATTTCAAAGGATGAAAGAAAGAGATCTTTCATCTACTGGTTAATTCCCTAAGTAACTAACAGGCAGGACTGGGCCAGGCCAAAGCCAGGAACCTAGACTCATTAAGATGCCCACATGGGTTGCAGGGCCCCAAGCACCTGAGGGCACCAACAGCTGCTTTTCCTGAGTGTGTTAGTAGAGAGCAGAATTGGA